GTAAGTCACATTATATTCTCGAACTTTAAGGCAGTTGACACGATAAATTCCTAAGATAGAAGAGTAGGTTGATACACTTGGAATTACGCGATCTTGAACAGGCGCTCCATAGCGCCTTCTCCCAAAGAAGGTGCCTTTATAAGGCCCTATCAAGCTGCAACTTACCGACCCGGACACCGACCGTGCCCGCCCGCCTAGGACGACCGTATCTCATGCTTGCATTGCTTCTTTTGCGAAGTAAAATATGAAGCGAAGGGATTGGTATGAAGCGGCTGCATGGATATATGAGTACATACGTGCAGCCGTATCTACCGTAGCGGTTATTGGTACGATGCCTACGGGAAACTCGTCCAAAAACGCTGAGTCGTGAGGAACGGAGGCTTTTCTTCGCAGGTTTTTGACCGTTTCACTCCGTTCTTTCGCCATTTCCCCACTATACAGCGCCCTACTAGCATTTTAGACAGAGTACCGGACCATCGTGCCACATGCGTCTAATATGATCTAAGCCGAGAATTCATCGTACCACCAAGTGGGCTGAAAGATGAGGATCTAGCCTGGAGGGCTTAAGCCATTCCTTGGATTTTCTTTGGTGGGCCATTTTTAGGAGCAATCACGCTCGGTAAGCTAACATGGAAATGCCTTGAAAGAAATGAGGTAGAAATAGAAAGCGTGAGTCATCTAAAAGGACTTGTCGGAGGATTCAAGGACGATGGACCAGCCGCTGTGTTGTAAAACTTCGTATTTCCAACCTAAATGAACCCAGCAGCGCGTGGCGAAGCTGTTCTCTTACTCATAACCTTACTTTGCCTCATGACCTTACTTTGATGTACATGATCATTTCGAAGTCCCATTTAATAGAGACAACGCCTTCACGTTATGTGGTTTTCTTGCGCATTCATTGGGCGTATCCACTTTGAAAGAGGTTTCTTTCTCTTCAAGTGATTGAGAGCTAAAACCTGTATCTGTTTCCGAGGGAGCATAACTGGGAAGAAATAGAAGGGACAAACTGAGGGGGAGGGGGAAGCAATAGAAGAGATATGCTAATAAGAAAAAGCATCCTACCACTCCTTCTCCCACGACATACGAGCGAGCATAAAATGGGAAAAACCGAGAAACAGCCAGAACCGAGCTAGCCAACAATCGGAAAATTTTTCGAGTGGTTTTGAGGAATTTTTTCTCAAGGGCGAATGCGACCTCCCCCCTCCCAAGCAACCACGTACGACGCCCTAACGGAATTTTTCCTGCCATGCTGTATCACCGTATAGCCCACTGACGTTTAAACACGATTTCGA